ATTGCCATAGCTATGAAGGAAGGGGGCTGGCCAAAGGCAACAGCATTTCCTAGGTCAGTTCAGTTCAGCCAATTTATCCTTTTCTGAGATTAAAAATAAGCACTGATTGATAGTAGAGCTCAAGGATCCACTGATTGTTCACCAAAAGATGCCTAGCAATTGAATGCCATATTTAGCTTTGAAAGCCATTTTGGGAATGTTAACCTGTTAAACCTGTTAAGCTGTGAAAAGTGACCTGTGTAGTTTGTGGAAGTGAAGGAATATTTCTCCACTTTTTTTTTTAATAATTAATTCTCATAAAAGTGCAGATTTGAAATTTTATTTTTAAGAAATATCAATGGAGATTTAACATTACTAAAATACTCTGTCATTTTTATAAGAAAACTTTTCAGTTTACAATGGTTCTTCATTTCTAAGTTAATTTACTATAGAAAGCACCTTTATGTTGATGTCCCTAATGAAAATAAGATGTTCCAAAACTAAAAAAGCCAGGTGTTTTAACTGATAACACCCTTCTCTGAATTGTTTGTTCACAGCTACATTTTGAAGACCATAAGCCATATTATTAGAAAGAAAAAAAGAAATGACAATGAATAATTCATATGTGAATGATTTTTCTATGAATATCACATTTTAATCTAATTCTGATTTGAATAGTAATTAATTAATATGGTTTTGTACTCAGTGGACTGAGCACAAATATTCCCAATGCATTTTTTTCCTTTCTGTGTTGGGTACATAAATCACAGATAAGTTACATCTGTCCTCTGATTGAATGAATTTGCAAACACTTCCAGTACAAGTAACCAAGAAATGGAATTAAAAATTTCTTGCTCAAAATTTTGTGCATGAGATTATTATTGGCGTTTCATAAACATTAGAGCTTGTAAACACTGTTTAACATTCACAGCAACACCACTGATCATCACTGGAATGATTTCCATTATAACAGGAATAAATACACTAGAAAATTTTCACAGCATCAGTACTAGGCTGCAAAATCAGTAGCCCCCAATATATTTATGTTGCACTGGTGTTATAAATCAGAAGCAGTAATATGTACTTGAGCTTATCTTTTCTTCTGAAGCTTTCCTTCTTTTTTCCCACCCTTCCTCCAACTTCCTGTCATTTCTTACCCCCACTAAACCTGAATCTACTTTAGCAGCTTCACTGGGACAATATATCTGACCAAATCCTCCAATGAATACAGAAGATTGTCCTGTCTTTATAAATCTTAAACAGACACAAAAAAGGTCCCTTGTTTGACTTTTTCTATTTAGTCTATCTCCTCTATTGAGCAGACTCAGTAAAGATTCACTGTAGAATTTATATACATGGCACTCACATATCTCTGTTGGAAATGGCTATATGAATATTTGATTTTTTACCTTTTGCCCACTGAAAGTTCTCTCCTTAAATTTAGTCTATATTTTGTAGATAATATATATATTCTACTTTGTCTTTCTAGCTTGCCCTTTCCCTGCTCAGATAGGTTAATGCCACAATCTGATAAGCAGGTGGTTTGCAGATCTCAGGTAACAAATATCACCGACAACATTGATTTTCTGTACACTTTCACAGGATGATTTTACAAGGCAGAATACAGGGCTAGCTAGATTTGCCAGGTTGGTTAGTCTTTGACATTTCTTTGCAGATGCGTATGCCTACGCTTTTCTATGTGTTCATGTCTACCATTAAATACCACCACCACCACAGAGTGACAAATGACTTAACTATCATACGAGATTTATGGAAATTCATAGAAATAATTGATTGCAAACATTTTAAATGGAGAGGGCAAACACTCAATTAATACATCTTGATACCTCATGACAACTGTCAACTCTTCTTTGGCAAAATAGAGAAATAAGAAACCTAACTGAATTACACATCACAGCTGTATACTATGTAGAAGAAAGTTGCACTGTTGTTAATGCTTGAGCAGAAATAATCTACTGAATATTTCATTCTGATTTCCTTAAAAACAGAAATAACAGGCTCGTTACATTTCTTCCTTCTTACTGTTTCTGTCTCTTATACAGTGCTCACAAAGACCTGCTGAAAATGTACTAGCAGAAATTACTTTCATATAAAATAGGTAACACATTAAAATGATGTAAAAACAATACAATTTTCCATTCCTACCAAGTGACCTGAAGCCTGATTCAGTCTGGTATTTTAATAAATCGGAAAACTGGTCTGCTTAAAAGTAGAATAGTGCTAATGCATTTTTCTCAGCAGTAAGATGCACAAGACAGAAAACAGTGACCTAGGATTTCTGAAATGTGAGTAATTAAATAGAAAACAAATATTCCTACTAAATGCTCTGCTCTTTGACGTGAAATAGTATTTCTCTGTGTAGCTGCTGCCTTTTCAATCTCTCAGTCTCCTACTATGTTTCAAGGAGGACGGATAAAAATTTCAGTTTTATCTTTGCCCATTTATCTGCTGAGCTGCAAGAATCTCAGGAAGAGCACGACTGGTTCACGCAGCCCTGATACTTATGAAGTACTAAATGCCTTATCTCATACCTTTTCCAGCACAAAAGATATGCATACAGGCAGCTTCCATTAACTGTTATCATTTAGCAGTAGTGGTCCTTCGGAGTATAATACTCTTCAGTGTTTGATTTCTCTACATCTTCCCTTCTCTTTATACACCTTCATACACCAGCCTGCGTTAAGAGGCAGTTACAGTTTCAGTTTTACTAATTTTTTCAGCCTTGACTTTCAGTTTTCAGCAGAAGAAAGGGGGGAAGAAGATATACCCCCAAGCATGGACTGTGGTCCTCCTAAGTTACGTATTTGGCTCGTATGCAGAAATATTTGCATCCATGTTTATACTATTGGATAACAATGTTGCATCACTAAAGTTTAGATTTTTAATTATGACTTTGAAAGCGTATGTCCAGGACAGGCTTTAATGCTCACTGAAAATCATCATCAAAAGTCCAAAATGCTATTTAGAACTATTTGGTCCAAGTTATTTCACGTTGCTAATTAAGAGTGTATAACATCAGTCGCTGCTGTGTAATACCCTGTGGAGTTATTTTTGCAATCACTGTTTCATCACTACCATGTTCAGACATCAATACTTGATATTTCTGCAAGTATAGAACTATGCTGAGGACTATTCCATATAAAAGATGCACGTGTACTTAGACACAGCATACGCTATTGAATGCTGCTTGTTAGGATTTCGTTTATTCCTGATAGGAGAAGTGATAAATTACTTTTTATTACTTGTAAAGTCCCAGTGGACAAGTATGTCCTTACTTTCCTGCATATCTTTTACCAATTCCTAACTTCTAGTTTGCTATCAAGTTCCTTGGTTTCTTTTCCATTTTTTAAAATTATATTTGCTAGCTTTTTTTCTCCTGCCTGAGCTGATATTTTTCTCTATGTAATATTCTTTTACAGTTGTAATTGTCACAGAACATTATCAAATTGTTCCCAACATCATCCACATTTATTCCATCTAAATTATTTCTGCTGGGCTGTTGACTCCTAATTATTTCAGGTTTATGAAGTAGGACTTTAAAAGCAGCCATGAGTGTGTGTGTGCATAAAGAAATTATTCCTCTGCCATACAGAACAAGGATAATCATCTGCTGCTTTTTAATTTTGTAATCAATTCCTCTATCAGTCAGGGCACTAATTTAACAAATTCTCCCATTTTTAAATCTGTTTCTTAATATGTAATTATGCAATTTCAAAATGAAATGAATGCTGCTTTCCCCACTCCCCCTTTTTGTTCTTGCTTTGCTAGTTTACGCTCTTCTTGACCTATCGCTCTGGGAAGACTGGCTTGGTACAGCTTCTGCACTGCTTTTCTGACATCTACAGCCAATTTTATCATTAAATAATATTTGTCTCCTATACAAGACAGCAGAATATGTGTCCTGTTGTTCCAGGTTCTTCACATGTACTGTGAGGAGCAACACTGTGATATTATGGTGTTAAGTGGATATGCTGATTTTCAATGCTTTATAAACTCAGTGGGTAGTATTTTGGGAGCTCACCTGCTTGTGAGCTTCATGCTGTTTCTGCAGGGCTTAAAGCCATTCTGTTTGTTACCTGTCTTCCAGAAATTCCTAGTGTGTATCTGAGGATGACTGATCTCACTTTGGCTTTCATTTAGTTCCTCCATAAATAAAAAATAAACTCTAAGTAGCTGGAAACTACTCTATTTGTTGCAGTGGGATTCTTGGCGATTTCATCCTTTATTTATTCATGATGTTGCTTATTCAGCATCATGCAAATGTAATATAAATATAATATTACAGAGCCCCATACAAATTAACGGGTGTTAGCCTTTCCTGTGTTTACAGTTTCATATGCTCTCTTACTATTTTTAATGGAAGGAGGTGGAAAAAAAATACTTCTTTTAATCATATGCAATGTTCAGAAACAAATGGGAATAGCTTGATGACCCTCTCAATAAGACTTTAACCTGAAATCTTTTTTTCCCTTAATTTAGGTCAAATAAGCTCTTTATTTTGTGTGTATGATTCTATCCTTATTTAATTATTCTCTGACTGTAGTGATTGTTAAGCCACTGCAATTTAGCACACTTCAGCATGTATTTCCTGCTGCTTACAGCAACACACTAGGGAATGTGCTTTAATATCACTTCACACTTATTAAAATACAGATTCCTCCAGAGTTGAGATATGCAGCTGCCATGAATGAATACATTTAAATCATAAAGCGTACAAGTGAAAATTCAACCTGTTCAAAATATTGTTAAAATGATTCGTATAATGCTACTTGTATCTGAATAAACACGTGGGGTGAAGACTTAAGAAGAATTTGTATATACTGAATTAATAAGTACTAATGGCTATACAACTCCACAAAGCTGAAAAACAAGAAATGTTGACAGCAAATACATTAAATTAAACCTCTTGACTGCCACAAAATACCTCTCTAAATTATGTTACGTTGCTGAAAAGTACGTACTTATTCCCTCTTCTTTCCCCTTGTAGATCTTTCTAAACGCTGACACAATCCGCCTGGGAAATCTGCCGACGGGTTCCTTCTCCTCCTCTCCACCTAGCTCGTCAGCTCCTCGCCAGACTATCTATGAGCTCTGCGTCTGTCCTAATGGTAAACTTTACCTGTCTCCGGCAGGAGCAGGCTCCACATGTCAATCCAGTAGCAACATCTGCTTGTGGAGCTAAAAAGACTCCAATTTATCCTCACACCAGAATAGCCTTTTGTTACTATCCCTCTGCTTCACAGTTCTGCTCGGTTTCCCTTGTGACAAGTTCGACGCTTCAAATGGCCTGCAGAGCAACTTCTTCCAGTGTAAGCAGGAATACAGCGCTGCCTTCCCTCGTGGTTCATGGTACCACTCAGCGTAGAGATGGGAGTCAGATATTCAGCATGTATTCTTCATCAGGAAACCTGGATCATAATATCACCTTTTGTCCAAAAGGGAGAATAACACAGGTGCCTTTGCTACATGAAGTGAAGCACATAGTTTTAGATTTTTGCAGGACCTGGATATGAACTGCACATATATATACAGTACATATACAAATTTGCCCAGATTCCAATGGTGAGATGAATTGGTAATCCCTGTATGTTAAATAACTTTACTGTCTGAAAGCACAATTTTCCATTCATCTTTTTGGATGTAAACTTTTATCCCTGAATTTTAAAATTTTGAAGCATTGTGTGATGCTTGCTTTACTAAACAATTAAATTCAGTAAATGGTTTTTAACACAAAAAGAGACAGAATCCCTCACTCAGTTTGGTTTCTTTAAAAGTGTGTTGTTATTCTTCGTCTACTAGGTCTAGGGTTTTGTACACTAGGTAAATTTTGGAAGTGCTCAGCAATATTATCTTTCAGAGCTAAAAAGACATCCGCTCTTGTCTGTCAGATCTGAATGGTCTTATGTAGTAATGTCGTGGCTACTGCATGTGAAGCGATTGCTTTAAATAGAACACACGGGTCTGGAAAAGAAGAACGGGGCAAAGGGAAAATACTGGCAGGATGTTTCTTGATCCGTTTGTTGTTCTCCACAAGGTATTTATAATTGGCAAAAGCAAAGCAAAAATGAGAAAAAAAATCCTCAAAGGTACATCTTGTCCGATTTCTAGCTGTGTCTATTTGCTGCCATTTGAACACAGTGCAAACACGAGTACTCATGTCATGCGTGATGCTGCAAAGCAGTGCCCTAACACCTGGAATGACACATTTATCTTCTTTCTTCACCATCTGCTGATAAGGTTTTCAAAGTCATAGTAATAAATATATATATTACCCTTTATTCAATGAAATCCAATATTGAAAAGTACATTAACGTTACGTTGACTTTGTCAAGTCTGTGTTTAAATTATGCAGCCCTGTTTGCACTCAGATATCACTGCTTACTTTCTTTTTTTTGGCAAGTTTGATGTGGGATTACTTTCTTATACCGGGTAGCTGAACCCCTGTAAGAGATGCTTTGGTATGCTGCTGCTAAGTTTATCACAACATTGATTAACAAGACTATCTTGAAACTTGCAGAACCCAGGAATGTAAAACAGTATTAAAATGTTTCCTATTGTGGAAGATGGCTTGATTACATCAGGTAAGTGCACTTTTTAATAATATCCTTTAAATCACATCATCTAGCATGTAGCTTTAGAGGTTTCTGAACATAGGATTACCAATTCAATTAATGACTTTTGTAAGATAGCTCTTAAGATAGGGTGACCAGTACAAGGTGGGTATTGCTGCACAATGTGTTTTTATTTAGAGGAAAAGAAAAAATGTAAAAATGAGCAAATCATTATAATTATGATCTTTCTATTTAATTACTAAAAGAAGTTGATTTTGTTTTCACTACAGATGAAATTCACTCCTATGCAGAAGACCAGCACAAGTCACCGCTTGGCTGGTGCTTGCCTTTCTGTTGGCCCTCATCAGAGGTGTGAATTTTACCCTCAAGCAAGAACTGGGTACTGGTTGTTTCTGCTTAGTTTCTAGCTAAGCAAAGATTCTGCACCGATTATTTCATGTGTTCAAAAGAAGGCTATTAGCAACTGATTTGTTATTTCTTTGAGAATATTATTCTTGGAAAGAAATATATTAGAAACTATTCGAAGAAGATAGATTGGAAGACTTTTTTGTTGTTTTTTTTAATAACAGGGACAGAAACAGAAGTAGAAGTGATAGATAGAATAACAAAACTTTAGATACTATAGCTATATGACATATCCTCAAAATACAGGGAAATAGATGCCTTTTTCCTCTGCACACAAACCACAGAATGTAGGTGTGAAAGTCATAAAGATGTATAGTATGCAGTTGTGTAAGGGCGCCTTCATATGTATTTGTTATCTGTGCACACAGGCATACACTGGTTATCTAGAAGATGGACAAACAGCCTATAGTGACCCATATAGTCAATGAATTATATTTTGCCTTCTTAGAATTTGCACACAAGTAGACTAGGGATTTTTTTCTGTGCAAACTTAAGCCCACAGGAATGGCTTGGAGACACCTTGTCATGAGTTTTCCATTGAGCATTTCTCATTTGTTTGCTCTCCACCCTAGATCATTATGACCCCCTATACAAATTCGATGAAACCCGGAGTGAGGATGAGCAGATAGAAAAACAAAAATCATTTTGTTTTGAGGTTCGCTTTTAACAGCAAGAATGAATTAATTTACGGCTAAGGTTTGTATGAAGAAAACTCAGGGCATATGTGAGTGGAACTTTGGATTCAACAAAGCTAAGGCAATTAGTCCATATATGTCTACACTTAGTCCACATATCTCTGCACTGTCAGGAGTTTCTGGCTTGGAATCACTGCAGTGCTCCCCAGTATTTCTGGCACAAATAGAAGTAGAAAGCATTTGGGAGCCTATGTGATAGACACAACCCCAGTGTGAAAATTTGTCACGAAATCTCAATATTCTAATGCATTTCTTATTGATATTTACCTTAAATTCCTTGAAACTCATAAGAGGAGGAAAATCTCAGTTTTTATTTTGAAGAATATTTCGAGGCCATGACTTCAGAAAGTATTGGAAAAGTTATTTCAGTGCATCAAGGGAACTAAAAAAGGCCAAAAGCCAACGTTAGACTATTTATAAGCAGCACCATCATTTTTGAAAGGAAAGCAAAGCTTGCCTGACCTTTTTGAATGCTTGAAGCTAGCAGTACAGAGAACCTCTCTAGTACACATCTCTGTAGATGAGAAGATGACAAAACAAAACTGTATTTACAAGCCTCTCATGTGATCACATGGTGCAAAACTATTCTGTGCTCATCTGCTCAAAGTGCCTCCCCAAAACATCAGGAAAGGGGCATGTGATCCCACACATGACATTTCTGGTGGAAGGAAAGTAAAAGATCTCAGCACAAAGACCATGTAAAAACATGGGGCCCTAGCTTTAATTTTTCATTAAAAAGCATAAAATGAAGGTCATTTCTGTAGAGAGCTATAGGAATATTTTTTGTCACCTTCCTCATAGATTTCTTCCCCTGTCTTCAGGTTTTTTCAGTTTTTGTTGGCCATTTATATTATCTAACACCTAGCTAATACTATCTCTAATTAAAGTGCTTATCTGATTGAATATTTTGATCACTTATTTTGGAAAAGAGATGTCACTTATTTTGTTTAAGGCAAGAGTTTCCCAGTTAACAAATCAGTTTGTTGTGACAATTGTGGGGAAAAATTTGAAGACATTAAGATATTTTTAAGCATTAATATTGGTCCAATTAAAAACAGATCAGTGTCTGAAAATTTTTCTTTGAGATTCCTTATAATATATGAATACATGTATCAAATAAAGCTTCTTTTTGTACTACAATATCCTTTTGGGAGCCACAAAGATGGTATTACAACTGTTCAGTCTTTTCAGATCTATCACTCTGACAACAGTGAAATATATGAAAAGACCTTATTAGCTACATGTATTTAATATATACAATAGATTTACTTTCTGTAAAAGTCTGTATAACAATATAATAGGATACTGTCTCTTTCTTGTTTAAAAAAATAAAAATCATCAACCAACCTCTCCAAGCACTGTTACATGTATGGTTTTGTACTGCAGTTCATTCATTGGTTAAGTGATAAGACCAAAGACTGACACTTTTGCTATACCTAACACTATGACACTGCTGCTTCTGCTAATGCTGTGGGAACAGAGAGACAAGAAGTTGTAATTACAACATGAGATTGTAACGTAGCCTAGATTTGCACAGCATCTTGAGCTGTAGCTTGTTCACTTTTTTCCAGGGTTGAAATTGCTGGTCAGCGTAGTGCAGTTACGTTACTGCTCACACGTAACCGGATCTTCCAGCGTTCATAGAAAAAGGGGAAGAATGTGCAATGCAAAATATGCCGGGATGCTGCTTGCCTCAGCTGGGGTTACCTTGTTTTGCTGTCGTAGTGGATTGCCTGTATAACCCAATTCACTTGAAACCATTTCAGAGAGAGGGCTATTAGGTATTGGTTCAAAATACAGCCATAACTGACTGAAAGAGTTTGATGAAGAATGTTTAAGCTATTTGATTGCTAACACCATGTAATTTTTTATTGCTTTTTTTAGGTTCTAAATCATTTTCTAAATAAAAAAAAAAAAGGGCCAAACCTAGACTACTGAATTGTTATGAGCTGGTTTCAGTGTATGCATATGTAAATTGGATCAGAGCTGGAGTGTCATATGGTTTAAATTAGTACTCGGTAAAGGTCTGCTAACCATTTTTGTTTTAATTTGTAATTTCCATGTTAGTTCTTTTTGTGTGTATATAAATATGTAAAAGGATGGAAACTATTTTCTTACACATACTATGCAATATCTTTGTAAAACTGCAATATTACCAAAACTACAAAAGCTGTGCTTTTGTACTCTCTTGCTTTATGTAAAACAAATCTTTTTTCTATTTAATGGGTTGTCTGTCTTATAATTGTAGATAGCATATTATTCAAAAGCAGTATGCTGTAACCTTATTTTTTTTATTTCCCTTAGACTTTTTATGTTATGAAAATAATAGCAAGGTTTTGGAAGTTGGAAATTGTTTTTTCTTGGAAAGACAGAACTTTTACAGCATGTAATTAACACAGTCAGTTTGAAATCTCTCCTGTACTACTTTAATCTGGTGCTACTGTAAAACCATAAATAAGTGTGACAGATAAAGTAAGAAACAACATTTCAGAACTCATTTCAACAATAATCAAATGGAAAACTTGCTAAGGATGAGTAGGCAATATAGGACAACTGATGAGGAATATTTATTTTTGCTGCATTTTTTTGTTAGTATGCATTTCCTTCCTTTTTTAAATTAGCCATTCAGTAATAACTGTTACTTTTTTTTTTTGATTTTTTTTTATCCTCACATATACTAGGGACTTTCTTTTCCTTTCCATTTTACCTTTTCCTTTTCTTTTTTGGAAAACAACACACACTGCATTTAGATGTAGCATATAAGGAAAATGCTCGCACGCACCTCCTGGATGCTGCTGCAATTCCCACTCCAGGCAGACAGTAGCTACACCAGCTGGAAAGCTCTTGCACAGACTGTAATTTCTGTGCCACAGCAACAGCCATACAGATCTGTCCATAGTGCAGGTCCTCCAGAGTCGCAAGAGTCTAGTTCACAATAGCTGAAACAGCAAGAAAAATTACTCCTAGTCATTTTATTCATGTTTGGACTAGACCTGTCCAATTAAGCCTACATGACACTAAAAGATAAATGGAAGTTGTAGTGGAAACAAAAAACAACATTCTGTTGATTCAACATGTATCTCGTATGGAAACTAGAATATAAAAATACAAGCAGTGTGTCTAAAATTAGGTTTCCTCTGGAAATCTGAGCTGACTTTCAGATTTTTTTTTTTTAATTCAGAAGTATTATTTGACTATTGTCCAATACCTTTCCCATAGAGGCCATGACCAGAACACAGGTTTTAATAGGTAAGGAAAAACATATATTCTAATGCTGGTCTGATTAGAATCAATATTACATATACCACAGATATGCCTCACCTACTTATCTGAGGAATAAGAAAGTTTCCCTTAGTTTCAGGAAAACTTTAAGGGCAGTGAATCCT